ATTTATCGATTTGACTCGTGATTTAAAGTATTGAACTCCTTTCTTTAAAGCTCTCAGGACCAGATTTAAAATCATTAAGTAATCCTCTTGGCAATTTATTATCAGCTTTACTGTTATTGCTATGGTACAGAACAGCTGCTGCAACAATAATACAACCTACTACTATTCCTGCTGCTACAAAACTTCCTTGAACAATAAGATATATAGATAATGGAAACATTACTGTAATAGCTACCAATGTTGAAGTAGTTATTGCTTTTTTTGCATTGTTATACTTAGGTATTTGATCATCAACAGTAGAAGTATTTGAGCGGCTTTTGGCAGCATGTAATATTTCTCTTATTACTTTAATATTATCCTCCCTTTCCTTTCGAGTTGGTAATGTTGCAACTACAGATTTATTTTCATCATACTTTTCCTCAGATCCAAATTTATATCCCCCAGTTATGCTCTCTATAATTTTCTGAGTGTCCTCATAACTATAGCCAATCATATCAATAGATTTCTCGCCCTTGTAATTGACAGCATCAGGATTTGCTCCTTTGTCTAATAATCTTTGAATTAATTCTGGAGAATCACCTCTAAGGCATGCTATGTGTAACGGTGTCATACCATTAGAAAGATGAATACAATTTATATCAAGGTCTTCTCTTTCTAGTAATTTACTTATAATATCCCTTTGTTTCAAAAGCCCTGAACATTTGTTTAACATTTTTTTATCTGCATCTATACTATTTCTTATACATAGCTTTCGTTCCAAATTTTCCTCGTATTTAGGTAATATCAATTCACTTTGATTGATGTGTTCCTGAAGATTATCACAAATCCTACTATAGTCATCTTCGTTAATATGATTCCACCCTTTAGATATAGCAAGAAGAATCGGATTATTACCATAGAGTAAACTATACTTGTTAATGTTTTCATCTTTCTCAATATCACCTTTTGCAACATATGAATTTGATATATCAAACATTAGCTCAGTATTTTCACCCACTAAGATATTAGTGCTCTCTAAGAG